AGGGGCGCCCCCTGCCCGGACCCCCGCGCGCCCGCGTCGCCCTTACCCCCACGGGAGAGGTGACCCCTGCCCAGCCCGAAAGGGGCAGATCTGCTGGAGCCAGGGGGCAGCCCCGGCACGGGGGGGGGGAGACGCGGGCCGAGACCCCCCCCCCACGCGAGCCTCCAAAGCCCTCATGGCCACCGGGACCCTCCTCCCTCGCTACCTCGGGAGCAAGGTCTACCAGGGGGGTTGCTGCACAAAGAGGCGGTGGTCGCGGGAGACGCCAAATCGTTCAGAGGGGGAATCCACTTCGGCCATCTTGGAAGGGAGGAAAGAGAAAAAGGGACAGAAAAAAAAGGGGGGGGAGAAAGGCGGACCGCGCGAGCCTGGACAGGGGCCGGCGGGGCGGGCCGGGGGCGGACGGCAGGCCCCGCTCGGGCGCCCCCCTCCCACAGGGGATTGCGGGGAGAAGGATGGAGAGGACCCCCCCTTACCGAACCCATCCTCAGATGGTTCCAGGGTAGGGGAAGGGAAGGACGCGCGAGTCCGCGGCCGCTTACCTGGGTCCGGGGTCCGGCGGGTCTCGGGGAGGGGGGGTGGGAGGGAGGGAGGGAAGGAAGGGAGGGGAGGGTAAAAAGAAAGAAGAGAAAGATAAAAAGAGGGAGAGAGGGAGGAAGAAAGGAAGGGGGGGGGGGGGGCCGCAGCCGCGTCGCTCGCTCGGGCGGCGGGAGGGGAGCACCCTACGCTAAGAAAGGAGTTTGTGAGAGCGGCTTGGGGTGGGAGGGAGAAGAGGGGAGGGGAGGGGACGCGGGGGGCGGGGAGGGACCGGAGGGGGGGGGACAAAATGGCTTTTTTCCTCCAGACGAGAGTAGGTCCCGCCCACTACTCACCCACGTGACCTCATTCCTTCAGGGTGTTTGCAGAGAGGGGAAGGGGAGGGGAAGAGACTGGCGCGGCAGCTCCCCCCCCCCGCGGACACCGGTGTCCGGGGGCTCCCCCAAACCAAGTCGAGACTCCCCTTCCTCTCCCCACCAATCAGCACCCCTCGACCTGCAGGATAAATCCACCTCTGTTACCTTCTGCCATTATCCCCTTTTCCCCCTAATATGTGTGCACCCCACCACCACCCACCCCCTCAATGACCCTGCGATCCCCACCCTAGCTGGGGCGCCCGGAGAATGGTGAGATGAGGAGTGGGCGGAAATAGGGCTCGCGGCCTCTCCACACCTGGGCCTGCCCCGAGGCGCGCCCGGGCGGGGGGGACAGGGCGCCGCCAGCCACGCGCCCCGGTGATTCTCATTCACTCCGACTGACACTCCCTGAAAATCACTAACTGCAGCGGGGACACCGCGCAAGTCCTGCCCACCCCCTGCCCGCAAGCCGAGCCCAGGCGCGGAGACCCAGAGCCCCAGGACCCAGGCGTCCGGCCCCTGGGGTCGAGGGGCAGGCGGTGGGGAGAGGGGGGGGCGACCTGGGTGGGGGAGGAGGAGGAGGTCTACCCCGGGGTGGGGGGAGCCCGGTTTGCTGGGGCACAGGCCCGTGCACCCCGCAAGCTCGGGCGGGGAAGAATGGAACACAAGCCGGGGTGGGGGGTGGAGGGGGATGAGCGAAAGACCAGAACACCGGCGCCGGGCCAGGGACACAATAACCGGCTGAATGGGGAGAGGCCGGAGCGGAGTAGGAAATTCAGCACCGGGACTCGAAAGCGGCCCGCGCTCCGGGCCCAGCCGTGCGCCGGTTCCCGCACTTCCCGCTCGGACTCTGGAGCCGTTCGTGCGTCCTGGTCGGCCCCGCGGCGAGAGGCGCCAGGGGAGCGCCAAGGTGGCCGGTGCCAGCCGAGTCCTCCGATCGTCGCCCTCGGCTCCAGCTAGCGCTGGCGCTCAGGTCCCCCAGGCGACTCCGGCCGGGGAGAGAGAACTAAGAAATGGGGGGTTGGGGGACGGGGACGGGGAGCTTGGAAACGCAGGCGCCGAAGAAGCTAATGGTTCTGCTTTACGGAGACCACCGTGGGGCCTCATTAGGACGGTCGATGCGCTTATTCGTTATTCACGATTGATTAGGGATGGCCCCCATGATTGTCCCTCCCGAGGATCTGACCAGAAGCGCCATTAAGCGCCCAGACGGTGGGTTAGGAAACCAATGTTCGCTGAGCCCCGGCCTCCCTATTCACCTCTCGCTCCCAGCTGGGGCAGGGAGGTGGGAAATGGAGGGAGGGGGGGGGGCGACTGAGGGTTTTCACCCTCCTGCCACAGATCGCGGGGGCCCTGAGGGCACTGGCCGCCAACTGACCCCAGCTTCAGCTCACGCTGAGGCCGGGGAGGAAGGGCAGGAGAGATTTCCGCCCAGAGGGGTTGGTTGGTACAAGGACGGGCGGGAGAGGCCTGGCAGGGTCCGGTCACCTGCTTGCTCCCGGTTCCTGCATGGTGAGTCCTTGAACGAGTTCGCCGGGTCTCCAGGGCATCCTGGGCTCTGCCAGCGAAGATTTGTGCATCCACCCGTGCTCTGCCGCATGAAGGAGCGGACAGCAGGGACTCCCACTTGGCCATTTCTCTCGCTAGAATACCCAGAACAAGAGAAACCCCTAAGGGTTTCGCGGAGATCTAAGTCCCACCGGCGATCCACATAGGACCCAGTTGCTACCCTTCTGAGGAGCAGCAGCTAACACTAAGTGTGTGTGTGTGGGGGGGGATAACCCCTCTGTGGCCCCAATCCGAAGGGCGACCCCAGGGGGCCACTATGCTAAGCAGGGAGTGGATATCCATTTACTTCTTTCTCAGTCTTTAAGCGCCACTCATGGGGAGAGCTTGCTAACGACCATGCTACCTATAAAACTTTAACTTAATCCTTTCCAACCCAGATGACCAGCCTCACATTTCTTCCCTTTCTGGCTTTTCACAAAAAGTCTGAGCCAGCCTATACTACACCTGAAATTCTCTGGTCTCCCTGTCTTTATGAAGCCACTTAGAGTCATGTGCCAATGTCAAATACTACAGTAGGACACTCCAGGCCAAAGAGGACAAACTTGGAGAGACACACAACCCGTCCCCTTGGCTTCCACAGGACCAGATGTCCCTCCCTGTTCATCCCCATGGGCATGTGAGCACTTACACGGTGGGTGAACGTGAGTGTCCAGAAGAGGCCTCCTTAGAATCAGTTATCTCAGAGGACTGTTTTGAATCCAGGCTCCCACCCAGCATTCTAGAATGCAATCTCTGGACAGATCAGAACCTTTTCCCCTAGATTTTGAATTTTACCCGGGGTCTCCCAGTGACAATTTTGGAATCATAAAGTCAATGTGTGGGTCACAGATTAGAGACTTTAAGAGGGCAGGGAGCTGGGAAATCTAGGTGGTGATTCCCAGCACCTACCAAGAGCTAGTGTGAGATGAGACCCCTTTAAAAATGGTGTCAAAGGCAGGAGAGGGAGCCTCTACCAGTGCTTTCCAGAGTAGCTTTACCTCTGTGTCTCTTAAGACCAAAGCCAGTCCTTTGTTAGTATCGGTTCCTACCTCCTTATCCTCTTCCCCACTGCTTGCATGTATTTCTATTTTGTTGTTTTTCTTTTTTGGGGTGAACCTGTTAACTACATCTCTTTTCTTTCCTTCTCCTCATTTTGTTGGGGTTTGCCAATTTATGTCTTCGCTTTCTGTCTCTTTCTCTAAATTACATCTGTGGTCTCCCTCTCCCCCTCCTTTCTTTTTATCCCTCACTTTGTCCCTGCCATTCTCTCTCTTTGCTTTCCCTCCTTTCCAGAAGTAATATTTCTAGTTTGTAAAATCCATTGAGGTAGACAATGGAAACAGTCCAACCTACACTGAAAATTAATTGTTAATGATTTTAAAAAAAACGGCAAAATATATTGCCTGGTGAGACAAAAACTTGGCATTCTTGTAACCTGACTTGGGGACAGAGGAGTGGTAGGCAGGCAGTGGAGAGTTGGGGAGAATTCATGCTATCACGAATAACACATTTTCAGCCACAGTGATTCTGTATTGTGGAAAAAGCATCGCCTCTGCCATTTCATTACAAAATCTGGCTTTTCGACAACTGTGATCAAACCCACATTTAGGGGGAAAATGAAAATAAAACGAAACCACGCGTCCCTGGGTGGGCTCGAACCACCAACCTTTCGGTTAACAGCCGAACGCGCTAACCGATTGCGCCACAGAGACGGTGATGGCTACTGATACTGCAGAAAGCCGAGTCAATGGGAGCGAGGCTGACGTGGCGCCGAAGCTGAAACCACAGCTCCGAATAAGCGGAGCAGAGACAAGGAACCTGGATAGGATGCAGGATCCAGACCCGAGGGGGGCAGCCGGGCACGGGGGCGGAAGGTGAGCAACCTAAGGATTATTAAGCTATGTACAATGAGCTTCTCGCCGGCTCTCTGAGAGGCTCCTCTGCTCGAAATGTTCGTTTTCGGGAGCTGATCTGAAGTCAACCTGCAGGGGATCCCAAAGACCAGAACAATCTCCAGCCTCCAAGACCGCCCCCGGCAGCTAAAGCCTTGCAGGCGCGGAACACCCGCGGCGCCCTCTCCCCCTCGCCCCATTTCCCGTCATTCAACCCGCACTGCATGGGGGTCTCCCACACACCCGGCCCGGGCCGGAGCTAGTGATTATCCCCAGCCTGGCTAAGTGCCCCGTCAGTAGGTAATAGCGGTAAGGGTTTGTAGGATGAGTAAACGAAATCGGCTAGCCTGAAGCCACAGCAGGTAGCACCGCGGCTCCCCAAGCTGGAGGCGCGACCCACACACAACCCGCCGCCCCAGCCCACGTGCGCGCAGACCCCGCCCCCAGCCGGGACAGCCAAGTTTAGGTCCGCCGAGAACCCGTCATGCACCGCAACGCGACGCTCTTCCGCACTCACAGTGACTTTTCACTTTCCGCTTTCCCCGCCTCCGTTTTGGCTTTCTCAACCAAACTACCCGGATTGGTGATTGACGGGAAATAGAACCAATAGAAAGCTCAATTGATCAGGCCGACTCGGCCTGTCGGCCAATAGGAATAATAGCAGCGAGAGCGTTGGTACAGAAGGAACCAGAACCGGTTCACTGTAATTGCAGCGGCGAACCCGATTCCTATTACACCGCAATCATGGTGAGACGGGGGGCAAGGGAAAGAATACGGGGTGTGGGTTGAGAAACGGCGATGGGGCGAGGCCAGAATTGGAGGCAGAAAGGGCTTGGTGGTCGGTGGAAAGGAGCTCTTGGCTGCCCGACCGGCCTCTATAGTGGAGGACACGGGGTACGGGCGGAGCGGGGTTCCTGGGCTAGGCTGGGGGCTATGGCGGCATTGGGCTCCTCGCGCTAAATCCCCCCGCTTTTCCACCCTCAGTCTATTATGTCCTATAACGGAGGGGCCGTCATGGCCATGAAGGGGAAAAACTGTGTGGCCATCGCAGCAGACAGGCGCTTCGGGATCCAGGCCCAGATGGTGACTACAGACTTCCAGAAGATCTTTCCCATGGGTGACCGGCTGTACATCGGCCTGGCCGGGCTGGCCACCGACGTTCAGACAGTGTAAGTGTCAGGAGTCCCTGCCCACATCCAGGCCTCTTCTTGGACCAGCCTTTGACAGGTGTCTTATGTGGCTTGGATACCAACCATCTACAGAATATCACCAGTGAGTCTGGGACAGCTGGATATCAGAGTGACCCAGAGATGTGCCCTAACCAACGTTACCAGCTCTGTGGCGGGCTCTGTGGAAAACATCTATGCGAATAGATTCATTTAAGCCTCTTTCTTGTATTGCCAGACTGCTGTCTTATTTCACAGTTGAAGAAAGTTCATGAATACCAGGACCCCCAGCGCTCATCTCTTTAAACCAAAGGCTGGAAAGAACTTAAGGTCCAGCTGGAAGAGAAAGCAGTTATAGCCCATGATGCACACATTAACTTGATGCACATATTAACTGCCAGGTTGTTTACCTAGTTGACAGTGGTTCTGTGACTTGAGAGAAAGAGTCTGAGAGGCTAAGGTTCTGCTGAGTGACTGGTAGCAGTAAGGCAAAGGATGTGGCTTCTGTTAGTTTTGTTGATAGAGCTCAGTGGCCACTTGGATATTGTAGAATAGGTGGGATTTGAAGTTTCACTGAGGTCGTGACCTATGTCGTTTTTTGTGGGGGAGGGATAGGGCTGGGTTTTTTTTGGGGGGGGGGTTCTGTCCGTCGTGGGGCCTGAACTCGGCCTGGGTACTGTCCCTCGGCTCTTCAGCTCAAGGCTAGCACTCTACCACTTGAGCCACAGCGCCACTTCCAGCTTTTTTTCTTTTTGCTTATATGGTGCTGGGGAATCGAACCCAGGGCCTCATGCATGCAAGGCAAGCGCTCTACCACTGAGCCACCTTCCCAGCCCCTAGGGCTGGGTTTTGAAGGCAGGATGAGCTCCTGTTCCTACACTAACCCTTGATGCCTTTTTTAATTTGTTTTAGTTACTAAGGATTAAACTCAGCCTGGCACATCTTAGCATACTTTACCACTTGAGCCACACTTCCCATCTCTTTTGTTTTCAGTTATTTTTTATGTACGGTCTTGTATTTTCTTTTTTCTTTTCCTTCCTTTTTTTTTTTTTTTTTTTGGTGCCACTATTGGAGCGTGAACTCAGAGCCTTGTGTTCTTGCTTAGCTTTTTTTTTTTTTTTGTCAGTGGGGGCTTGAACTCTGGGCCTAGGCACTGTCCCTCAGCTCTTTAGCTCAAGGCTAGTACTCTACCACTTGAGCCACAGCGCCACTTTTGGTTTTCTGGTGGTTAATTGGAGATAAGAGTCTCATGGACTTTTGTGCCAAGCCTGGCTTTGAACTATGATCCTCAGATCTCAGCCTCCTGAGTAGCTAGGATTACAGGCGTGAGCCACCAATGCTCGGCTTCTTGCTTAGCTTTTTTGGTCAAGGCTGGTCCTCTACAACTGGAGCCATGCTTCCACTTCTGGCTTTTTGCTGGCGAATTGAAGATAGGAGTCTCTTGGATTTGTCTGCACAGGCTGGTTTCTAAGTGGGATCTCAGCCTCCTGAGTAGCTAGGTTGAGGACCCTGTGTTTTTTTGCCCATGCAAGCCTTAGATCAAACTACTCTACCTATATCTCATTCCTTTGAAGCTGAAATTACAGTTGTGCACTACCATACCCAGCTTTACTTGTCGAGATAACTTTTGCTAAACTTTTCCGAGACTGGCCTGGAACTCCCCCTGCATCTACTGAGTAATTAGGAAGTCATGGTTTATCATATCTGGCTTCCTGTATCTTTTTTTTTTTTTGTCGGTCATGGGGCTTGAACTCTAGGCCTGGGCATTGTCCCTGAGCTCTTCAGCTCAAGGCTAGTGCTCTATCACTTGAGCCACAGAGCCACTTCTGTCCACTTCTGTTTATGTGGTGCTGAGGAATTGAACCCAGGGCCTCAAGCATGCGAGGCAAGCACTCTACCACTGAGCCACCTTCCCAGTCCCCTCCCCCCTTTTTTAATGTTGGTCCTAGGATTTGAACTCAGGGCCCAGGTGCTGTTCCTGAGCCCCTTTGTGCTCTACCACTTGAGCCATAGTGCCACTTCTGGCTTTTTTTTTTTTTTTTTAGTAGTTTATTGGAGACAAGAGTCTCATGGTGGGGCTGGGAAGGTGGCTCAGTGGTAGAGCGCTTGCCTTGCATGCATGAGGCCTGGGTTCAATTCCTTAGCACCACATAAGCAAAAAGAAAAAAAGCCGGAAGTGGCGCTGTGGCTCAAGTGGTAGAGCGCTAGCCTTGAGCTGAAGAGCTGAGGGACAGCGCCGAGGCCCAGAGTTCAGGCCCCACGACCGGACCCAAAAACAAAAACAAAAAGGAGTCTCATGGGGATTTTTCTGCCCAGGCTGGCTTCGAACCACAATCTTCAATCTCAGCCTCCTGCGTAGTTAGACTAGGTGTGAGCCACCTGTACCCATCCCTATATCTTTTATCTAGTAAAGTCAGTCCTCTGTTTCAAAAAATCTAGCATCCTCAGATTGAATCAACCTTGCATGGAATATTCAGATGGACTTTGTGTCTCAGTGGTAAAATGTGTGCTTGGCAGGTGTGGAACTGATCAGTTCTATGTTAGCCCATCCAGGGGCACTAAGGTGGCTACAGGGAAGGCATAGCCTTCTTTCTTAGGTACCTTCTCATCTGGGAGCATAGCATGGGAAGAATTCAATCTCTAGCAACAAAAAGAGGGAAAAAATTTCAGAAAAAAATTGTCTGTATGGATAATTTTCTTGCCATTACTTCCTAAACAGTATAGAATGACCATTTACCTGGTGTTTACATTGCTTTAGATATTATAAGTAATCTAGAGATGATTAAATCTCAGGAGAGGAATATGAGCAAATCATATGTGAATACAACCTTTAAATACAGCTTTGGATTTTTATATCCTTTGGTGGTCCTGGAACCAATCCCCTAAAAATACTAAGACACAATGGTACATTTAGACATGTTAACCAGATGATTCCTGCTTTTGAGTATGTACACTGAAATGCAGGACTTGAGAGGCCTACTTAAGAGGGGAAAATGATGACTTTGATTTGGACAACAACTCGGAGGGGACAGGGTATGCCAATTAGAAGCATCTTGCAAGCAGATGGGGGCGGGGGTTGTTTGCTTGTGATTTCTTGCTCTTGCCGGTGGGGTTTGAAGTTCCCTCTCAGGGAGATGCTGGAGAGCCACTGAGGAGCAGATTCTGGAGAGATGATATATGAGGAGGGTTTTAATACTAAGCTGTGTAGTTGGAGAGCTGAAGGAGGAAGAGAACTCAGAGAAGAAAGTTGAAAAGAATCAGGATGGGATTTCAAGAGGGATCATGTGGACTACAGGCAGCTGGTGGCCTAAGGAGAAGTAGCTTCTGCACTTTGTAAAAGGTTGAGAGGTGCTCACTAAGGGGAGGAAGCTTGTCAGACATTTCCTTTAAGGCTGGTTAAGGGCCAAGAACATAGAACTTCCTGGGGTCAAATCCAGTCTGCTTTTCTCCTGTGCTGCTGGAGAGACAACTGTGTAGACTGACCCTGTCAGTCAGGAGGCCCCACCAGCCTTCCTCTCCTTCCCGTCAAGAGCTTCTTCTCACTGAGTTCACTAGGTTTCAATGTCCTCACCTAGAAGGTGAAGCTAAAGTCATCCTGGGAGTCACTGCTGTGGCCCCAGCAAGTGTGTGGCACTGGCCTCTATTCCAGGGCCCAATCTGGGGCTCTGAGGTGGCCCTGGGGGGGAAGGTACCTTTCAGCTGTGTGCAAGCAGCTCTTGGTTGTTAGAGATTGGATGTTTCCTGTGTTCCTTCTGACCCACATGGGTGAACACTAGAGGATATTCAGCATCACTTACCTGCTTTTCTCTTCCAATCACAGTGCCCAGCGCCTAAAGTTCCGGCTAAACCTATATGAGTTAAAGGAAGGTCGGCAGATCAAGCCTTACACCCTTATGAGCATGGTGGCCAACCTTTTGTATGAGAAGCGGTAAGTGGGTTCAGGGAGCTCAGCCTAGGATGGCACAGCAGGCCTGTAACATGGAGGGTTGCCAGCAGGGGGCTCCTTGTCCTCACTTCTTAGACAGTATCCTTATTTTGTGGCTCTGTTTTTTTCTCTCTCTTTTTTTTTTTTTTTGCTTTCTTTCCTTCCCTTCCTTCCTTCCTTCTTTCTTTCCTTTTTGTGCCAGTCCTGGGGCTTGAACTCAAGGCCTGAGCACTGTTATGCTATACTACTTTGAGCCCCAGTGCCATTTCTGAAATTCTGGTCATTAATTGGAGATGAGAGTCTCATGAACTTTCCTGCCTGGGCTGGCTTTGAACTGCAACCCTCAGATCTCAGCCTCCTAAGTTGCTAGGATTCCAGGCGTAAGCCCAGCTCAAATCCTTTTTCTAAAGGAGTACAGATATAAATGTACAAATAGGGAATTCAATAGTGGTAGGAGATTGGATTAAGTAGAGAAGATTAGGAAGAGGCAGGATTCCCAAAGAAAGGAAGAGGAAAGGAGGCTAGGAATAAGAGGCATATGAAGGTAAATGTCAGAGGAAAGAGGAGGAACAAGACTTAAGACCTGCCAGATGCTAGGAGAGGGGAAAGAGTTGAGCGAGCTGGCTTCCCTTGTCTCTACAGGCCTGGGTATAAAAATGAGCATTTTTGAGCTCTACTTTCTCTGCTCACAGGTTTGGCCCCTACTACACGGAGCCTGTTATTGCTGGGTTGGATCCGAAGACCTTCAAGCCCTTCATTTGCTCTCTGGACCTCATTGGCTGCCCCATGGTGACTGACGACTTTGTAGTCAGTGGTACCTGTTCTGAGCAAATGTACGGGATGTGTGAGTCCCTCTGGGAACCCAACATGGTAAGTTGGCAGCATGGAGCAGGGCTGGCCTCAGGGGCAGCCCTGGCCTCCATGGCTGTCCTGGACCTTCCGGAACAAAATGTGTTTGGGGTGAGGACTGGTAAGTTCCTTGAAGGGTTTCTAGAAGTTTCATCTGCCTGGAGGACCTTCTCTTTGGAGATGCTGGTCAGATGTTGATTTTAGCTTCCCATTGGGTCTCCAGAGACACTGAGCACTACGCACACATCTAACAACATTAGAGGCATTCAGACAGAATGGCCTGGAGCGAGGGGTTTCTGAGCTATAAGCCTCAATCTACCTGCCACTTCGGGGTTTTTTTGTTTGTTTGTTTTTGTTTTTTTTTGGTCCGGTTGTGGGCCTGAATTCTGGGCCTGGGCATGGTCCCTCAGCTCTTAAGCTCAAGGCTAGCGCTCTACCATTTGAGCCACAGCGCCACTTCCGGCTTTTTTTTCCTGCTTATGTGGTGCTGAAGAATCGAACCCAGGGCCTTATGCATGCAAGGCAAGTACTCTACCACTGAGCCACCTTCCCAACCCGCCACTTCGGTTTTTTTGTTTTGTTTTGTTTGGCTGGTCATGGGGCTTGTACTCATGGCCTGGATGCTGTCCTTGAGCTCTTTTGCTCAATGCTAGTGTGTAGTGCCACTTCTAGGTTAATTGGAGATAAGAGTCTCATGGACTTTCCTTTCCTGCATGGGCTGGCCTTGAGCCATGATCTCAGCCTCCTGAGTAGGATTACAGGTGTGAGCCGCCAGTGCCTGGTTTTTGTTCGTGGGTAAATCACTACCCAGCCCTGCCTCCCTTACCTGTGAAAGAGGACACTAACAGCTACTTCAGACGGTGTTGAAGCATGAGAAGAGACTGGCATAATGCCTCACCAGGAGAGCCTTGCTTTCCTCTGCCACCTCTGCCAGGCTTGGGGGAAGGTCAGGATCTTGCACCCACACTAAATAAGTACTGGCTAAAGTGGAATATGCCGGGAAGAGGAACTGTGAGGGCTGAGGTGTGAGCTGGGCTCAGATGCTCCGAAGAGACCTGGGAGTAGCTAGGGTGGGCAGGGTGCAGCGAGGTGAGGCTGGGATGAGACTTCAGAGGGCCTTGAACACATGCCAATAAGTTGCCAAGCTTTCCTTTGCTGAAAGAACCCGAAGAACTGGGCTGGGAAGGGGGCTCAGTGGTAGAGTACTTGTCTTGCATGCATGAGGCCCTGGGTTCCATTCCTCAGTACCACATAAGCAGAAAAACCTAGAAGTGGTGCTGTGGCTCAAGTGGTAGAGCGCTAGCCTTGAGCTGAAGAGCTGAGGGACAGCGCCCAGGCCCAGAGTTCAGGCCTAACGACCTACCCAAAAAAACCAAGAGGCCAACAGCTGGATGTAACAAGTTGTCACCTGCAGGAGGCGCTGAAGTCCTGAGCAAAGAGAATGTTGGGCCAGAAAGGCAGCCAAAGCCAAGAGGACGTGGCCTTAAAGCAGTGAAGAGTGGTGGTGCTAACTAAGCAGCTTGGGGGCCAGCAGGCTCACAGTTGGGCAGGTTGAGTTTTCAGGTGTTGGGAAGTCTGTAGAGCAGCTGAAAAGCATGTCAGAGCCAAATGGAAATTCTCTCTAGGTGTTGGTGGCTCAAGCCTGTAATCCTAGGTACTCAGGAAGCTGAGATCTGAGGATCATGTTTCAAAGCCAACGTGGGCAGGAAAGTCTGTGAGTGAGACTTTTTTTAATTTAATTTTATTTGTGAACATACTGTACAGAGGGGTTACAATTACATGGGCAGGATAATGCGTACATTTCTTACCAAGCATTGCAGCCTCCTCCTTTGTTTACCCTTCACATCCCTTCCCAGCCTTCCCAATCCCAATCCTCCCCCCCCCCCCCCCCCCCCGTGAGACTCTTATCCTCTTATCTCCAATTAACCACCTGAAAACTCGAAGTAGAGCTGTGGCTCAAAGTGGTAGAGTGCTAGCCTTGAGTGCAAAAGCTCAGAGACAGTGCCTAGGCCTTGAGTTCAAGCCCCAGGACCGAGAGAAAAAGTAAAATTCTTCTCATTTTACAGAAGAGGAATTGAGGCTCAATGAAGAGATTATTGCTTATCCAGGGCTAATGGGAAAGATTCCAGATTTGAAAAGCCAGGTGCCAGTGACTCATGCCTGTAATCCTAGCTACTTGGGAGACTGGGATTTGAGGTTCAAAGCCAGCCTGGGCAGAAAAGTCTGTGAGACTTATCTCTAGCTAACAACCAAAAAGGTAGAAATGGTGCTATGACTCAGCACCAGCCTTGAGAGAAAAAGCTAAGGGATAGTACCCAGACCCTGAGTATAAGCCCCAGCACATAAACAGACAGACACACACACACACACACACGATTCAGGATGTGGCATGTTTCTGTAGTCAGTTTCCTTCAAGAAAAGAGCTCAGAGGGCTTCCCACCTGGAGCAAACCATCCCTCCCCTGCACTGCAGGGCCTGGAGCTGGGGAGCAGAAAAAAAAAAAGAGCCTTAAGCAGCTCAGAACAAGTCTTGAAGCTAAACTGGTCCTCTCTGTTGGCAGGACCCAGAACATCTGTTTGAAACCATCTCCCAAGCCATGCTCAACGCTGTGGACCGGGATGCAGTATCTGGCATGGGTGTCATAGTCCACATCATGTGAGTATGAGTTGGGCAAACTGGCTGCTTCGCAGACACCTGCCTCCCCCGCCCCCCCCCAGCCCTGAGCAAGTATATGGCAAACAAGGGGCTTCTGCAGACTTCCCTACAGATGGCAGTCTCAGGCTCTACAGACTCTCTAAGTCTCCTGTCAGATGAAGCCTCCGTCCCTTGCTCACAGTGGACATTTCCTTCCTTCTCTAACAGTGTCCCCAAAGTCCCAGGGGACCTGTGTGGGGCTAACCACAGGGAAGCTCCTCACTGCAGTTGGAATGCTCCCCCCAACTGTTAGATGTTGGGCTCTAGCAATCATCTTCCAGCCCCTAGCCAGCTCCCTAGCTGCCATTCCCTGGCGCCCCTACCTCCCCCCCCAGTTTGTTTGGAGATATCACCAGAAACTTGAATAGATGGAGCAAAGAGCATCCCCCAGCTGCTTAGCTACACTGCAGAATAAGCTTGTAGACACGCTCCTTCATAGCATAGCCTCCCTGCTTACCACAGAAGACTGCACTTCACCATCCTCAGGCTCTTTTGTGTCACTGAGGTGAGGCCACCCCGCTTTGCAAAGCCACTTGTTCTGTAAGCCTGAGGGGGAGGCCACGGGGGCCGGGCCTCCACTTCCTCTTGGGAGGGCCCTTCATCCAGCCCAAAGCATTTTCCGGAAAAGGCTACCCTAGATGGGTCTCCCTGTGAAAATTTTCCTGGTCTAGTTGTCTATCCCTGTCCTTCCCTTCCTTGTGGACTTGGTGACTAGAGCAGAACCGTCCCAGGGAGAGCAGCGGTGGCAGCAGCCTCCCTTCTCTCCTCTCCTCTGGAGGCTGAGTCCTAGGGGCTGAAGAGGCAGAAGTGTACATGGGCCGACATCTTTTCTTTCTCTGTGCAGTGAGAAGGACAAGATCACCACCAGGACGCTGAAGGCCCGAATGGATTAGCCCCATCCCAGAACCCACGCTTGTTTGTTGACTTTTGGTTTTGTTTTTTAAATAAAATTGCCTTTCTTTCATTCCTTCTGTTTTTGTTGTTCTGTAGCTTCCACGAAGAGCTACTCAGGCTTTATCTCAGCTCTCTGGTTTTATTTACTTATTTTTGTTGGTCGTGGGAGGCTTGAACTCAGGACCTGGGTTCGTCTCTGAGCTCTTTTGCTCAAGGAGCACTTCTACCACTTTGAGCCACAGCATCACCCCCAGTTTTGGGGTGGTTTATTGGAGATAAGAGTCTCATGGAGGGCTGGGAAGGTAGCTCAGTGGTAGAGCACTTGCCTTGCATGCATGAGGCCCTGAGTTCGATTCCTCAGCACCACATAAGAAAAAGAAAAAAAGCCGGAAGTGGTGCTGTAGCTCAAGTGGTAGAGCACTAGCCCTGAGCTGAAGAGCTGAGGGACAGCGCCCAGGCCCAGAGTTCAGGCCCCACAACCAGACCCAAAAAAAAAAAGTCTCATGGATTTTCTTTCCTGGGATGGCTTGGAACCATGGTTCTCAGATCTCAGCCTTCTGATTACAGGTGTGAGCCACCGGTGCCCAGTGGTTTTTACTTTCCAGTGTTGGGGAAGGAACCCAGGGCCTTGTGCATGCTGAGTCATGTATCATCCAGCTACACCTCCAGCCCTGGGTTTGCTTTTTGACTTGGGCTCTGCTCCACTGGCACACCCATGGGATAATCTCCCAGTCACAGTTGGATGCCTGCTCTGTGCTGGACCCTGAACAAAGTGCCTTGTGCATTCTACAATCTAATCATCACAGTCAACCAGTGCAAAGATTAACCTTTGTTTAGGGAAGGACTAAGTGGTACAGGCACTGTATTAAGTGGTGGAGCCTGTATTCTACACAAGGAAATGTGGAAGCAGGAGAATGTGTTTGAAGCCAGCCTGGTCTACAAATTGGATCTTTATCTAAAAAAAGAAGGAAACCGTGGGGTAATCCTAGCTGCTTCAGAGGCTGAGAGTAGGATCCAGTTTCAAGGCCAGTCAGTCATACATGCAAGACCCCGTCTCAACCCATAGCTGGATGTAGTGGCATGTACCTGCCATGCACTGTGTGGAAGACTGAATCAGAGACACACGGTTCTAGGCTAACCTTTGCAAAGTCTTCTGAGATTGCATTCTGTGGAAGAAGCTGAGCTGGGTGGTACATACCTGACATCCCAGTTATGAGGGAAAGTGTAAGGCAGACACATTTAGGCAGGGGACAGGGCAAAAAGCAAGGCCCTATAAAAATATGCCAATAAGCTGGGTGCTGGTGGCTCATGCCTATAATCCTAATTACTCAGGAGGCTGAGCTCTGAGGATCGTGGTTTGAAGCTAGCCCAGGCAAGAAAGTGTGAGTCTCTTACCTCTAGTAAATACTCAGAAAAAGCTGGAAGTAGAGCTGTGGCTCAAAGTTGTAGCGTGTAGACTTGAGCAAAAAGAGGCTCAGGGACAACACCCAGGCATTGAGTTCAAGCCCCAGGATTGGCAAAATATGCAAATAAGGTCTGAAGGTATGGCCTAGTGGTCGAGTGGTAGAGTACACACCAAGCAAGCATGAAGCCTCCTATTCATTACTACCTCCTTCCCCTCACCCCCAAAAAGCCTATATTCCAAAATCTAGATTTCAAATTGTTAAACTGTCCTGGAAATCCCTCAGTGTTTTTGTTGTTTTCTAGTCCTAGGGCTTGAACTATTGGCCTGGGCATTGTCCTTGAGCTTCTTTTGCTCAAGGCTAGCACTCTACCACTGAAGCCACAGTGCCACTTCCTGCTTTTTCTATTTATATGGTACTGAGGAATTGAACCCAGGGCTTCATATATGCTAGGCAAGCACTCTACCACTAAGCTCTATTTCCAGCCCCTGATTGTATCTTTAAAGATGTTAACTTCATTAACATTTGTGTGTGTGTGTGCCCATTCTGGGGCTTGAACTTACTTTTGGTTTTGTTTTTTTGCCACACTTTTTTTTGTCAGTTGTGGGGCTTGAACTCTGGGCCTGAGGGCTGTCCCTTAGCTCTTTAGCTCAAGGCTAGTGTTCTACCACTTGAGCTACAGTGCCACTTCCGGTTCTCTGGTGGTTTATTTGGAGATAAGAGTCTCACAGAGGGCTGGGAAGGTGGCTCAGTGGTAGAGTGCTTGCCTTCCTTGGATGAGGCCCTGGGTGTTGTGGCTTAATTGGTAGTGCGTTCACCTTGAACTGAAGATCTCAGGCCCAGAGTTCAGGCTCCACAACTGACCAAAACAAAGACTTTCCTGCGCAGGCTAGCTCCTGAGTAGCTAGGAGTGAACCCCCAGACCCAGCTACTTCTGGCTTTTTACTACTGATCTGGAGATAAGTCTTACAGGCTCTGCCTTGGCTGGCCTTGAATCGTGCTCTTGATCTCAGCCCCCTGAGTAGCTAAGATTATAGGCATGAGCCACTAGCACCTGTTTTTTGTTTTTCCCTCCTGATGCCAACACTATGGGGCTTGCACTCCTTTCATTCATTTTTTTCACTTATAGCCTGGTGTTTTACCACTTGTGCCACATCTCCAGTCTGGCATTTTGCTGGTTATTTGGAGATGAATTTTAACATTTCTGCTTGGGCTGGCTTTGAACCTTGAACCTCCAGATTTCTGCCTTTTGATTAAGTAGGGCAACAGGTGTGAGCTACCATTACCTTTTCTGAAATTCTCTGAGCCTAGCTTACAACCTGCAGTAGATGTGCTAATACAAAGTAGGATGTGCTCACTATTCCCAAGCATTCGCTTCTTAGACTCAATCATCTGGAGGGCTCATGAAATTTTTTTTGTGTGTGAGCCAGGCCCTGGTGGCTCACGCCTATAATCCTATCTACTCAGGAGGCTGAGATCTGAGGATCACGGTTCAAAGCCAGCCCAGGCAGGAAAAGTCTGAGAGTCTCCAATAAACCACCAGAAAACAGGAAGTGGCGCTGTGGCTCAAGTGGTAGAATGCTCACCTTGAGCTGAAGAGCTGAGGGACAGCACCAGGCCCAGAGTTCAAGCCACACAACCAACAACAAAAAGAAAAGATTTTATTTAAGTTTTTCACCCAGAAGATCTTGAGACCTGAGAGTTTACATTTCTGAATCCCAGGTGTTACTCTATTACTGGTCCAGGACCACACTTTGAGAATTACTTGATTTTATTACACAAAGGTACTATGTTCCAAGCCACTCACCTACCCAGTTGAGGTATGTAGGTCCTAGCCTGTCCATTCTCTATAGCGAGAGGAGACGGGAAGGGGTGGTGGTACATGGAAGTGCCAGCTGGCAGGCAGCCCACTGTGCTTTGTTCCTAACATTGCTTATTAACTGCATCTGAAAGTGGGAGGTCGTTGACCACATTCCTTCTCCAAACTCAAGCTCTACGTTGACTTTGCCTAAACAGCCTCTAAAACAAAATACACAAAGAAAAACCAAAAAACAAAAAACCTGGCATCAAAAACTTTGATTAGGGGGCTGGGAAGGTGGCTCAGTGGTAGAGCACTTGCCTTGCATGCCTGAGGCCCTGGATTCGATTCCTCAGCACCACATAAGCAAAAAGAAAAAAGCCGGAAGTGGCGCTGTGGCTTAAGCAGTAGCCTTGAGCTGAAGAGCTGAGGGACAGCGCCCAGGCCCAGAGTTCAGGCCCCACGACCGGACCCCCCCAAAAAAAAATTTGATTAGCCAGGTGCTGGTGGCTCACACCTGTTATCCTAGCTACTCAGGAGGCTGAGATCTGAGGATGGAGGTTCAAAGCCAGCCCAGGCAGCAAAGTCTGTGAGACTCTTATCTCCAGCTAATCACCAGAAAACTAGAAGTGGTGCTGTGACTCAAAGTAGTAGAGTGCTAGCCTTGAGCAGAAGAGTTCAGGGACCAAACCCAGGCCCTGAGCCTCAGGACTGCCAAAAACAATGAAAACCTTTTTGATTCTGAGAAAAGGGGGGGGGGGCATTTCCAAAGGATTTACACATAACCAGATGTAACAAAGCGTTTTGAGTTTTATTTTTTCCTCAGGTTGGAGATTCATCTTAACATGCATGCATTTTAAAACAGTAACAGGGTCTTGAACTGTTTAGAGCAGACATTAGACAAGCACAGGGGTTGAAAATTCCTATTTTAAAAAATGGAACCTGCAGTGTGAAACTGAGAAGTCACACATGTGGTGGGGTGGTAGTTTATTCTGCTTCCCCCAAAAGGGGGCTCCAAACTCGATTCACATTATTGTGTGTATAATGCTCTGCTCTGCTGTTGTGTACTAAGACTGGCTTTCCCACTAAAGATGCTGGCCCCTGCCTCCTTGCAAAAATAGCTGTGAACAATTCAAGGGCTTTTCTAGAAGTTTCCTCTCCAGCCTAACTTCCTGTCCACATAAGTTGTTGAGGGAACAGCTGATTTCCTAAGTAGCACATTGAGAGGAGGGCTAAGGCCATGTCACTGCCTCCCCACCTCAGATGGATGGCAGATTTGGGGAAGCTGTCCAAAAGCATTTCCCTTTCAGGACCTGCCCCCACTATACCTGCCATAAAAAGTTAAGGTCTCTAGACTTGAGGGAAGCCGTGATCTTAAAGGCTAGAACACTGAGGATTAATTAAGTACACGGTCCATTCTGGCCCTAACACTCAGTAGCACAAATGCTGAGGAAAGAGCACTAACCTTCTCATTTTCAATCTGAAATGACAAATGGATTAACTGGGGGGGGGGGGGGGAACTGGCTTCTCAAAGTCCTGGGTCTTTGGTCCACCTCCCCAGGGGAGACTGTGAAGAGGGAACAGTATCCAGGGCAGGAGTCCAGTCTCCCACACTGCTGAGCACGACCAGGAGACCTGGTCAGGCCTGAAGCACAGGGCAGAGAGACAAGTGGAGGAAGAAGAGTAAAAGGGAGGAGCTGCCTGTAGTGGGAACTGGAGAACAGCCACAGACCAGTAACCCCTGAGCTAGATAAAGAGGCTGAGCCCTGCTTCTGGAACTGCTGGCTTCCTGCCCGTCCTGTAACCCCTGAGCCACAGAGACTCAGTGGTTAAGTGATAAGAGATATGGCCCAAGACCAACAATTAGTGAT